CTCTGACCCATCACGGGTATCGAAACTAGGTTTCTAGGCGATTGTAAGTCTGCTAGACATACCGTTGTGTACACTGGGGGGGCTAAAGTATCAGTTTGTTTGTTTGTAATTAAGCACAAGGCTACACAATGGGCTATCTGTGCTCTGCCCACCACGGGTATCGAAACTTGGTTTCTAGCATTGTAAGTCTGCAGACATACCGTTGTGTCACTGGAGAGCTAAAGTATCAGACTTACTCAGCTGTCAGTACGACAACTAAAGTATCAGTTGTCAGTACGACAACTTCTCATCTTGTTTCTTTGAAATATCCCTGTAATAAAATTATCAACTACATTACTGAGTTAATATCTTTGTAATAAAACTATCAACTGTATTAATCAGTTAATATCCCTGTAATAAAATTATCAACTATATTAATCAGTTAAATATCCCTGTAATAAAATTATCAACTATATTAATCAGTTAAATATCCCTGTAATAAAATTATCAACTACATTACTGAGTTAAATATCCCTGTAATAAAATTATCAACTGTATTAATCAGTTAAATATCCCTGTAATAAAATTATCAACTATATTACTGAGTTAATATCCTTGTAATAAAATTATCAACTATATTAATCAGTTAAATATCCCTGTAATAAAAGTATCAACTATATTAATCAGTTTAATATTCCTGTAATAAAATTATCAACTACATTACTGAGTTAAATATCCCTGTAATAAAACTATCAACTGTATTAACCAGTTAATATTCCTGTAATAAAATTATCAACTATATTACTGAGTTAATATCCCTGTAATAAAATTATCAACTATATTAATCAGTTAATATCCCTGTAATAAAATTATCAACTGTATTAATCAGTTAATATCCCTGTAATAAAATTATCAACTATATTAATCAGTTAAATATCCCTGTAATAAAATATCAACTATATTAATCAGTTAATATCCCTGTAATAAAATTATCAACTATATTACTGAGTTAATATCCCTGTAATAAAATTATCAACTGTATTAATCAGTTATTATCCCTGTAATAAAATTATCAACAAAATTTATGTTTCGCAAATCACCGATTTTTTTTTATACTTGTAGTAAAATTATTGAACAGTTTAATGCTTGGTAATCACTGATTTAAGTATCTTTCTA